AAAACTAGCAAACTTCTTGCTCCATATTTATTTTTCTAATTAAGAACTTAATTCGATATCGGAGAATTCAGTATTTAAAGTTATATATGAAATTCTGAAATTTGTTATGAGTATTTATACGATGAATTTTTCAACAAACATATAAACTTTGAATTGAAATTATTGAATTTTGGAGAACTATCGTTTCTTACATCTAGTTCTTTACTTGATTACAGACAAATTAGAAGAATATTTTTTTATCGTGAAATGCAAAAAAAATTGAAGTGAGAATGCTAAGTTTTCATTTATAGTTTTTAATTTATGTTGAAGAAATTATACAGAATATTAGTGCATCGATGGAACATATGTATATATTTAGTTGGTTTCCTATTCCAAGCATCGGAGCCCCAATTAAATTTGAATTACGCGCACTGCATGATTTATCGGGGGTTATTAGATTGAAACTTGAGATATTTTATTAAAATCTAGTCTTATCACTACACCACAATTCTTATTGGTATATGTATATATTTATATTAATTATTAATAGTATATAAGTGCTGAGCCCTTGAATTAATGGAAAACATGCTATTGTTAACCAAAAAATAAATAAATTACAAAACAGAAGAAACAAGTGGAGTAGCCATCACAACGTTGAAGATATTTTAACCAATCATGTAATTATCTTAATTAAGAAGGAATCTTTCTCCTTTTTTTATTATATATATAATATTTTTATTTTACTTTTGTATGTACCTAAAAGTTCTTCAAGACTGTTAGGAGCTAGCTTTCGTACTTTGTTGAGTTACTGTTAGCACATTGTCATCTGTCAAGACAAATCGATCTTTTACTTCTTCTGCTTTTTCCTATTTTAATTTATATTTCTGAATTTGGATTAATACTATGTATATAATTAATACGATGTATTTATTATATATTGATAATATCAAAGATTAATCTATTGATTGATGCATATAATTTGAATTTTTAATCTATTATATATAAAATATTAGTTATCATTTTAATTGTCTGATGATTGAATATTGCATATCATAGCATGTACATGTAATTAGTATATTATAAGCGTCTTGATGCATCCATGAAACATGATGTAGCCTAGTAATCAATAAAATGGTTGAGGGTTATGAGGTATCACGGGAAATTTGTGGCGGAGACAAAAAATACTAAGTAGGTGATTCTTTTCATCTTTCCTATTCTTGTTGGGCGATATTATCTGAGTGCTTATTGCTAGTGAAAGGTGGGATATCTCGCAGAATCAGTTGAGGTAAAATTATAAGTGACCTGATTATGAATTTTTTATATAATAACAATTTCATCACATTATTATTATGTACTTAAAAATCCTCAATTAAGCATATGTCTAATGGCTATAAGAGTCCATTAATTAATTATAAAAAGAATTTATGCATTAGCTCCACTTACTTGAAATAATGGATAATTTGCAAATATAATAATGAAGCGAGCTCGTTCTAGCTGCTATTTCAAAGTCCAAATAATATTATATTTTTCAGTTACGTTATTCTCAGATAAAATAATTTTGCTTTTACAAAGAAAAACAAAAGTTGACTACTAAATAATGACTGCCAATACAATTCCTTTTGAATTTTCAGAAATTTCGTCAATATTGTACGACCCATGAAAATGGGATAAATATTGACTATATATGTATATGTTTAATTCATAACACTCTTCTATTTCAAATTATTTATGGTAAATTTTTAAAATAATTATCTCAAATTATCTATCATTTCAGAAGTTCAAAACATAATAGATTGTTTTTTTCATTTTATCCTTAGTAGTTAATAGCAATTATTTTTAAAGACTAGAAATACCTTAATAGAGTAATATTTAATAAAGAAAAATTTCATCTTAAAACAAAATAAAATAATCCAGATTCTCCAAATTGATAAAAAAAATTATACATAAAAGAGAAAGAGAAATACGATAAATAATAATCCGTCTGACCAAGGATTAGGTTCATTCCCCATTACGTTTTTTCTGTCATATTCAAGAAAAAGACGGTAACCCACTAAACATAAAGTGATTAAAAATTAATCTGATTTTCATAGCTTAAACAGAGTTTATTACTCTAGTTTATTTTTTTAATAGTGCAAAATGGAAGCACGTGTGATAATATCAAAGAAGCCTCCAAACTAGAAGCTGACAAAGAATCCACATAAACCATTTTTTCAACTTTAATACTGTAATCACTTGTCTAAATATGAACCAAAAAAAAATAATAGGTTATATACTTCCACAATATAAAATTATTATTAAATTTTATTTTCATATGTTATGACAAATTATTACTCTATATTTCAAGCTAGTTACAAAGATTAATATGTTTGTTATAAATCAGTCTAACCTGATGACATAAACAAGTATGAGAAGTATTTGAAAATATTTTTAAATTTGGCGCAAAATATTAGTTTCATTCCTGAATTATTAATAATCTTAAAAATACTTATTTACTTGACTAACTGAATTTAAATATACACAATCTTGCAACATGAGTGAAATATATTCCTTGCAAAATTTAGGGTGTTATCAACACTTCTCTCGCCTTTCTATTAATGGTTCTATGTTATTACAAGAATTTGAGATCACTTGCTATGACATGTGGCAGATCGCCAGTATCAGAAGTGTATCTAAGTTTAGTTAGTTAAGTAGATAAGTGTTTTAAGACTGTCAATTTTCAAAGACAAAATTAATAATTTGCATCAAATTTAGAGGTGTTTTTAATACTCACTCAACATCTATATATTAACTTTTTTTACTTTTTCTTTTTACAACTTTGACTCAAATAATGAAATAATGAACTTTTTACAAGCCCTCCTCATTTAACTCAAACTTTTAGCTAGGAAGCTTCCCTCTCAATCAATAGATCAATTTGATCCTAATTATGTCAGACAAAACCAAATAGCAAAATTTAGATTTTTTATTTATTTTTTACTTTTTTGTTTCTGATAATATACTTTAATATTTTTTTGTCTGTCTGGAGCCGTCATTGTGCGTGAACAATTTGTTTTTTTTTTATAGTAAGGACATGTCTTAATATGACTGAATTCAATGAATTAATACACAGCAACCATTGCTAGCTATACATTATTTCACCTACTACTATATGGAGAATATTTGAAAAATCTCACAAACATTACAATTTAGGAATATTTTAATATTTAAGTCTAAAGTCACGCCAATTTTTCTTTTAAGGTGTTCAACAAATTACCCTTCAGCACACGTAACTAAGTTCATATACAATCAATCATATTTCCCTTCAACTTAGGTCATCAAAAGAATCTTAAAAATCTACCTATGTAGAATCTTTTTAAAAATGATTTTCAGAAGAGTTTGAATAGACGATCGAGTAAGTAATTTAACTTTTAGAGTTTCACATGTTTCACAATTTAAAATTTGGAATTCATAGTGATGTAGATTGAGATATTTTCCAAGATGAATTAAAGGTCTAAATGTTTTTTTGTGTTCAAAGAAAATGAAGGGACGTAGAAAATTTAGAAAAAAATTTAGCAACATGTGTATACACGTGACAAACTGGACAAGTTGATTGTACGGTCAGTCAATTCAATTTGTAGACAAAAGTTACATAAAAATTTAATTTGAGTTAATATTATTACATAAGTTCAATCAATGTCAACCCAATTTTCACTCCTAAATCCTAGCAAAGATGACGTATTGGATTTAATCGGAATTTCAATGTGGGCTCTGGAGGTGAAAAATAGAAAAAAAAGACCTACCAAAATTAGTACTGAAAATTAAAAGTTTTTTTTAACAGAATTAATGTGCTTTCATATGTTACAAGTACATTTTCTTATCGATCTCCAACTTAAAAAAAGTTTTAAAAAAACACTTCCAAAAGACGTAAAACAATAGTACAAAATAATTTTTGTGGTGTTTAATATGCACATGGACTGATGAGGCAAAAGTAGGTTAAAGAAAATTGGTGAATATATAGACTGCAAAATCAGGATAAATTTATTCAGCTACATGTTATAGGTGTGGTTTGATGGGGAACATGTGGGGCTAATTAGACAATATTAAAACCCAAATTCACTCAATTAATCATGCTAAATGGACCCAATAATTCTACACTAATCGACATGGATCGTAGTGAAATGATTGAAATTTTACCATATTTAATCAGAAGTCTTGAGTTCGAACCTTGAAAATGAAAAAAAAAATTATATTGAGAGTGTCACACCTAGAAATGATCGAGCCCTACAAGGCACGAATCAAAATTAATCGAGCTTCAATATGAATACCGAACCCTGTGAGTATGTGGGGAAATTCTACACTTCATTTCCATGTGGGCATGGTATGGACCTTTGTTTAATTTTAACGTGGGGCTAAGACCAAGAAGCAATCACTTGGAACATTTCTTTAGATTTAGGATATAGTTTGTTTTAGTATTGTACTTGGTTTCTGGACTTAATAATACATGATTAAGTAAACACTTGGTTAGTGTTCAATTATTTGAGAAGGAAAATGGAATTTAGCTGTATAAGTTAAATGTAAAAATATTTAACAATATCAATATAGTTCAACCGTAATAGCAGATTACATATCTTATTTTCTGTCTCGAGTAGCATGAGGCACATGAAATACTGTATGCATCTAGGCAAAATACTCCGATCAGAGTATGTTGTTTATCCACGTACCATTACAAGATTGTTACCACCTATCATACAACTTTAATTTCTTTTTCAAGATGCTTAGTGGCTTCATATATATGTCCTCCATGCAAATCTCTGCACTTGGAACTTCTCTCCTATTTAGAATATTGCATGATTCTAAGCTGAATAGATTGTTACAACTAGTTATGAACTAAAGAAAACATCAATAATCATCCCAAGCAGTCGGTAACAATAACATATCTAGTGTAATCCCACAAATGAGATGTAGGGAGGGTGGCTTGTACGTAGCCTTACCCCCTACTAAGTAAAGGTAGAGATACAGTTTCCAATAGACATCACAAGCAGTGGTACAACAATTAAACTGTCAGTACATTCATGAAGCGTAAAGGTCCTTAATTAGACGTACAAAACCACACCTATATACAGATTAAGAAGTACATGCTCAAAAAGTTCAAGCTTATGTAGTTGAGCAGTTCTTGTTATGCATCACAGCTCAAACTGTCGATGAATCAAGACTCGATATTTATTGAAAGCAGGGGAAAAGATAAGTTACAAAAAGCTCACATAACTTCTTCCATAGCAGCTGTGGCAGCTTCAGGATGGTAATGAAGTATTTCCGTCCACATCATGTCCCTTATCGTTTCTTCTCCCAAGTCCTCGTCTATGTCAAGATTGATAGGAACCTGCGCTGGGGGATCAGTGTTCGGATCATACAAAGGAGACATGTATGGGTGTTGAAGTGCTTCCATAACACTAATTCTTTTGGAAGGGTCAAACACAAGCATCCTCTGCAGGAGATCAATGGCCAATGGATGAGCTTGGGGATAGAGGCGGGAAAATGGTGTTCCAGGAGAGTATGGAAGTGATTTGATGTACTTCCTCGCCTTTGGATTGTCGATAAATTCTAAATCCTCTTCCCTCTGGCTACCAAGGATGTTTATAATCAATTTCAGTTGGTTAAGGCATTCGGTACCTGGAAAGACAGGTTTCCTCCCTAAGAGCTCTGCGAAAATGCAACCAACAGACCATACATCAATGGATGTTCCGTAGTTGTCACAGCAAAGGAGAAGTTCCGGGGCCCTGTACCAGCGTGTAACAACATATTCAGTCATAAACTGGTCCTTGCCACTGCTTGTACGTGCAAGCCCGAAATCACATATTTTCAGATCACAGTTAGCGTTGATAAGCAGGTTCCCGGGCTTCAAGTCACGATGAAGAATATTCGCTGAATGGAGATACTTCAGACCTCGAAGCAACTGCACGCAAATCACATCGGCTTCAGCAGTGAAAACAGTTAAATCAGCAAGTCTGTACAGTATGCATGCAAATTAGATATCTCACTCCTGTTTAGTTTTATAATCTTTTTAGCTCCTTTTTTCAGTTGTTAGATGTTGCAGTTTGAGGATTCCTCCTTTATGTGATTTTTAAAGAAAAAAGAAAGCATCCTTAGTCTAGAAATCGCCATCAGATGACGATGTCCATTACATGGCATGTTTAGGCGCCATCAGATAATGACGTCCATTACATGGCATGTTTAGGCGCGGGGACAAAATATGAAGGGTAAAGCCATTTCCCATAAAGATGTGTCACATTGCTGGATAACTAGCCAAATTGTATCCTATAAACAGAAACAAGATTAGACGCGGAAAAACCATAACCAACTAAACCGAGGTCCCAAGCTTGTTAATGGTGGATTCTGGAAAGGGGTAAAGACAGCATTCTGGAAAATGGATTAGACAAATTTGCACAAGTTGATGGATCAACCAACAAGGAAATCGTGATCAATGTAGGAGTATGTTGCTTGGACTCTTCAAAAATGCCAACAGGTGTATGTTGGATCCTCCAAAAGTAATGCATTTTTGGAGGATCCGACACGGTTGGAGCAGCATTATTGAAGAGTCCAAGCAACATAAGGACGTGTCTTGACTTCTTGAAGGTGTGAAGGAGGTAGCAACTCCTAAAGTGAAGCTGCACAACACTTCAGCACAGTCTTGTCTTGAAGAGAGAAACCGGGAAACACTGATAATATGCCGATTTTTAAGTGGTGGCTTAATTTTGGACCTGGATGAGCATATGAACATCTGAAAAACTAGCACAAGCTGAGAAGAAGAGCTCATCAAGATAACAACTTTACAAATTCTTAAATTGACGGCCAGCCATCTTAATTTCATATCATTTTGAAAGAAAATGGAAATATTAGGATTATCGAAAAAACAGAGATACTATAGGCTGAATTGTTTCAAGTAGTAAGTTCATGCTGTCACACAGATTTCACACATATTTTAACCCAAAGCAAGAAAAGGAAAAGGTATGTCTGCATATATGTTCATAGTTTCACGATGTTCTTCACCAGAGACATGTTACTAAGGAACTAATTCTTTCTGGTATTGAAAAAAGATGCTGCAAGCAGCAAGATGCATAACACATCAGCTAAGATGTAGATTCAAATTTCCCTTTATTTTTTTTTATCATCCACAAGACCACAACAAGTGAAATAATCTTCCAGGCATATACAATGAAAAAGAAAACTAAATTCCCAAAACAAAATGTGCATCAAGATACTTCTATAAGAATATTGGTTTACATAAGAATGGAAAAAGTGATTTCCAAATATACAACTTCTAGACTTCATCAAAAAATAAAATATTCTTCTTCTAGTGAACCTAACATCAAGATTCAAAGTGCAGATTGTTCCATAATACTTAGCTTGCTATCCGATGGGAAAAGTAGGTATTTTGAGGAAGGAAAGGATGACATGCAAGGGGTAGAAAGGAGTAGAACGTAAGTATCGAAGAGTTTGATGGGCTTGTAGAGAGCAGAAAACATGTCTAGCCTCCTAATGGAGGGACCTTACCAGATAGTAATAATCTGATACACAACCACCAGTTTTATATCAAGGCTTATGTTGATATAAGTTAGTGTCTCAATGCAGTCATTTATCAAATTCAACAAAGATATTGAGAAGTTCTCATATGATGAAGACAATTTAGTGCATACTATAGGATATCATTTTATATTATTAAAAATATTCTTTAGTGACATAACTAACCATAGCATCCAAGTTCAGCACCAGTTCTCAAAACAATATGATCCAAATGGCAAGGATTCAATCCAGAATGATTTTTGATTTATCTAACAATAATATGACATAGTCAACCCAACTCATCTGGGCAAATGGCTAGTTCTTGTCACATTATTATTCTTTAATAAGAGACGAGAAGTGCAAGTTTAGCAACTACAACCAACTTTATGTATTGAAGTAGACTCATAACTCACAGCAGCTATATATGTATGTGTGATCAGAAACATGATTCCGCTTCCTACTACTTCCTATCAAAGGATGATTTGATATTGCCTATTCCACCAAAGTAGAGACTAAATGAGACCGGAACCTGTATAAAGCATTATCTCTGGCAGTAATTGCAGATATCTGCTTAAATTTCAGTAATAATGCAAAACCTTCCAAGAAAAAAGTTATAAAGCCTGCTCATGCAATATCAAGATTAAACTTGAGAGCCATGTTCTATGCATAAGTTTAATCAGATTGGTTCATAATCTGCAAATAAAGGTACTCTCCATGGCTAATTTTTACTGTCGTTGTTATAAGCCTGTATTATGTAGGTTATAGTGAATATAAAGCATGGTATCAACTATCAAGTGTTTCAATTTGTCGTTCTGAATATTGAAAGGACTAAGTCAAAAAAGGTATGGTAGAATAATGATTCATAGGTCATACTTCATTTTTGTTCAAGCTTTATCCCCTTCAGCTGGTATTTATTGCTATATATCATTCTATGGTTGAATCATTTGAGGAAGTTAGCCTACTTTGTGTTATTTCGATATTTTTCACTTTATCACTTGACAAAGTTTCATAAATATATAGTAAACAGGAAGGAGAATAATACAGAAAATCATTTTTCACAGCGGCTCCACTGTTGATTGAAAACAGTTGGGAATGCGCATACTTTGTAAATACATAGATGCTATGTAAATCTTGAGCTTCTATTGTGCTTGAAGATGGACATTGAAACAACAAATCATGTAATTTTTTAAATCATTTTGGTAAGGAGCACAAAGATCATGTAATGTACATAGAGGCCTATTTATGGACCTAGACAACACCCAACTTACTTGAAAACAAGATAGATGCATATTTACAGATGTTGAAAACAACTTAAAAACTAGGATGATGACCACAATCTAACAAAAAATACACCTTACTAGCAACGGATGGAAGTTATCTTTCCCCCTCTTCAGTAGACAGCCTTCATAAAATCAAAATTTCATTTAAGACAAAATGCGCATCACTAATTTACTATGATATTGACATTGGATTTCCAAGCAGAGAAGATAGCGCCTCCATAATTTTCATCTACACGGACAACATTCACTGACCAAATGATTTAGAACATAAAAATGCACAATATTCACATAAAAACAGAAAAGATGTTGTTGCTGTCTTCTACTAATCTTAAAGGCCACTTGGTAATTTATGCAACTGATTTGATGGTAGAGCTATTAAGTACAGAGGATCATAAAAGATAAACAAAGGAAAGAAGATCAGGAGGCAGCCAAATAGCATCCATTGAGTAAATTTTGGCTCACATCAGTAACAATTATTAATTCCACGGGATACTTGCTACCTCCTACTAGCACCTGAAAAAATCGCCCTAGTGTTTTCGTCTCAGCTTAGATTTGAACCTAAGACCTCATGGTTCTCCTCCCACTTCACTAACCACTAGGCCACACCCTTGGGTGCACATCAGCAACCATATTACTATACTCCTACTAAAACTACCACCTTCCTTGGATGACTGAAGCATAAAACGTATCACTATTGTCCAAGTCAGAACACAAAAGTCAAGGTCTATGAATTGTCCCCTCATTATGGTATACCTCACTATAATTGTAGGACGAAGACAATCACGTTGATGATCGATAAGAATATTCCCTTCAGGCATAGAGGTCAGAACAGGAGTTTATGTTTTAAGAGAGAGTAGTCAAATTTAGTTTTTTTTTAAAAAAAACTTAAGAGACAACTGCATAATGAAGCTGCTAACTATCATACAGTTGTTTGTGAGCATAGATAGCGCTCTCCATCGGAAGTACCTGGAATAGGAAATACTGGCAATGATCATTCGTGAGTGTTTGAGAGGATTTGACTATCTGATGTAAATCTGTATCCATCAGTTCATATACCAGATAAACATCTTTGAAACTTCGCCTGTGGATTGGCATCATAACATCTTTCAGAGCAATCACATTTTCATGTCTTAGGTGGCGAAGGAGCTTCAGTTCACGCAACGTCCTCAGAGCATCAACACGATTCTCAAAAGCATTGTTTATTTTCTTGATTGCAACCTTCTCATTGGTTTCCCTGTTAACAGAAGAACAAACAATTCCATATGCCCCTCGTCCAATAGGCTTAATAGGTACATATTTAGTATCAATTTCAAAAAGGGATTGCCACATAGAATAGTAATGCTTCCCTGGGGACCTTATCCCATTTGGTGGCTCAACTGGAGTTGCCATATTCCTGAAATTATGCCATAGTAAGTTAGGAAACACATGATATATATTATTCTGTTACAAAAATATTAATCATTTATAAACTCCAAAACCAAAAAGAGAAAAAAAGAAAAGAAATGTGCATACAACCTGATCACAAAAATTTGCGAGCAAACTGAAGTTCTAGATAAACAATCCAACTCAAACGAACTAAATTTTACTGGTTGGTCGAAAACTTTGCACGGCAGCCTCCCTAATTCTAAAGCCTACCATGCTTTACAAGCCCGACTTTGCTCACAATAGTTTGAAACGCGCCTAAGCACTGCACATCATCTAAATGCTTATCCAAATGAGCAATTCTGTTTGAACTGGAATAAACAATTTGCAAATAAGAATCCTTAAAATCATTCCTGACTAATAGATTTCCCTCACAGCAGAGCACTACCTATTGCAGACCTAAATAAATAAAATCTGTCTCCTCTTTAACAACTTTAGCTTGTAGATAAGGTAGTTCAATCAATTCAATACCAGCAAGATCATTAAAAGTTCTTTCCTCAAAGACACCTTATTGATTAATGTCACACTTCACCACTTCCATTAACTCAAGGAATAATTTCCAATTCCAACAATCAATTTTTCTAAAGTACTTATGTTTTCTGCTGAATCAAATTGAACCAATTTGAGCCGAGGGTCTATCGGAAATAACCTCTCTCTACCTCTCTACCTCCCAAGGTAGGAGTAAGGTCTGCACACACTACTCCCCCTTCCCCAAGGTATGTTATTGTAATCAAAGTGGATCAATTATGACAAAGATAGAAGCTTTCTACATAAAGATAAACAAAAAAGTAAATGTTGCTGACCATATCAAATTCTCCATATCAAGTAAACTTAGTAAAGTACACTCAAAAGAACAAAGAAAGCTTTATATAGCAAATAATTGAAAATCCATGATGCATAATTTCACTGATCTCACAAAACAAAAATGGAAAAAAAAAAAAAAACTCACCTTTAAATTTATACTCTGCTTATACCCAAACTCACTCTTCACTGCAAAAAGCTCATCTTCAACAACCCCATCTCATCAAAATCCAAACTTGTTACAAAATTTCTACCCAATTCAGCTTCAGAAACCAAATAAAACCCCTTTTCAAGAAAACCCCATCGCATCAAAATCCAAACTTTTTACAAAATCCCTCTTCAATTCAGCTTCAGGTTTACAAATAAAACATGGGTTTTCAAGAAAACCCCATTTACATTCAAGTCGGGTCGAACAAAACTAGTACTGTGGCTGGAAAAAAAACCCTAATTAGGTCACCTAGAAAGTAGGTTCGTTCTCAGAATACCTAAACAAGAATCAGATCGGGAAAGATCAGATTAATTAAGCTCACATTTCTTTGTGTTCTTCATAAATTTCAGGGAAAAAAATGATGATAACATATTATAAATATCTGTGTCAACCAAAAAAGATTTTTGGGATATTCTATTTCTCTCTCACTCACACACACACTAACTGTTGATCCGTTATCTTGTCGTGATCAGAGTGTAAATTGTCTGAAAGTAGATCACACACAGTGATGAAGTAAACTATACTTTAAAAATAGCATATACTTTCATATTATTATTATGTCTTTTATTAACTTTATAGTTGTAATTATAATTATTAGCACTCTCTTGCCTTCTTTTTTTCTTTTTCCTATTTTGCTTTCTATCTATTTTTGGTTGTGTCATTTATGTTTTATTTCAATCAAAGGTCTATCGTAAATAGTGATAAAATTTATTTATGAAATTACATGAAACATATTGTTATTATACCAAATGAAATAAATTTAAAAGATTTATAAAAATAGTGTTATATTTTTCAATTTATAGAAGTCTGATTTTTATTGTAAAAAAAAAGAAAAGATGTGATTATTTGGATACTTTAGGGACTATGAGTGCCTCATTTTCGTGTTTTTAAGAGATACTTTATAAACATTCCTCAAAAGATAAGTGACAAATTTGGAATTTATTTCTTAATATAAAATAAATTATAAGTGAATCATGTGAAAAGTAAGTGGCCAACACCGTTTAGAAATGAATTAATTATGTTAGAATGGAGTGGAAGTGCTCTAATTTTTTCTTAAAAAAAAGTTGAAGAACTATATTATATATACTTGTTGAAATAAAAAAGACAGGTCTTCCTTAATAACAGGCAAATAGGTTGGAAATAAGAGAAAATAGGATATATATTTTCATGGATAATGCTAAATGGCCAAAAAATTTGGCCTGAAATTTAAAAAGTCTATAATATCCTTTTTATTTTAAAATAAATTGATATTTTTTCATTTTTTTAATTAAAAGGTATTAAATTTAAAAGAGTAAAAATGTTCAAAAAGGTAAAATAACAGTGTGAAAATATGTTATTTTACCATTCTAGCCAAATTCTCCAAAATTTTCTGGCTAAAGAATTTTTCCTATTTTTATTTAGAACCCTGAATTTTGAAAGGTAGTATAATATTTAGCCTTTTGGTGTTTGGAAAAATAGTTGATTATGACTCTAAGCTAGCATTTTGACCATAGTTTAAGATCAGATTTTAAATTTTTTTATTCAATTATTTGTTTGACTCTGAAATTTTATTAGACTTTCACTCAAAAAACTTTCAAGTAAAAATACACGTTCAAATACAATTTCAAAAAACTCAAAATTTTAAGTTTCAAATTTTCACTTCAAAATTTATGGTCAAACAGGATCTAATGAAAGGGTCCGACACTCTTCTTGTCAGATTTGTTTGAAGTTATTTTGGGCTTTTGAGGCCCTATTAAGTGTCAGCAGGGCTCATATGCGTTTGTAAAGCAAGCCCACTAGTCAATTTACAAATGGGCTTTACGCATAAAGTGTGTCAAATTCTATCATTTGGATTTCCTCAGCTGGCCATAGAGTAGGTATCACACTCCTGTCAAACATAACACAATTATATTGTTACCACCCTATAGAAAATTTATTCATAAAATAAGCAGGCTCGGTATTCGGGGTGCGTAAACTAAGTCTCGATATAAAGCAAAAAGAAAAATAAGAAAAAAACGACTAATTAAGTGTTAGATACTCTTAATGGTGTCAGGTTTTTTGGATGAAAACTGTGGGATCGACTTGACTCAAAACAGACAATATCACATCATATCAAAAGTGTAATATATACCATTATATAATTAGGATACAAATTACTAAAATTCGAAGCTCAGATATTTGAATTTCAAAATGGGCCTAGGAAGGCTAATGGGTTCTAGTTGATCCCTGACCCAAAGCCCAATTATATGGGCCTTAAACCTTGGATTGATGGGTTATATAGTTGGACTTTGGTACTAGTTAGCGAAAAAATTTATCATGGTAAAGGCCTAACCAGCAAAAGGTATGTGAGGCTTCATTTATTTTTTGACACATGGACAAGTGGGCCATTTATGTATTTTTCTACTTTAAAACAAGAACTTTCTACAACTAACAAGAGAGGAAATATATTTACACATAAATTAAGTTGAACAAATATAAAAAATGCAAGAAAAATTATGTGTGTTTGCTACATTTTTTTAATCATTATTAATATAATATTAATTTGTGGGATTATATCGGATATATTATTGTTGTTGTAGTTGTATGTTAGTTTGACAAATTTATTTTGATATGATATTTTTTTTGTGTATTCATGTTGTGTTTTTTTAAAAAAAAAAAAAAAAAAAATCTTTCATAATTATTGTGATTTTAAAATGTAGTCATTTTATTTTAATTGTTATGATCTGAAATGTCGATCACTCCTGTCAAACATAACACAATTATATTGTTACCACCCTATAGAAAATCTATTCATAAAATAAGCAGACTCGGTATTTGGGGTGCGTAAACTAAGTCTCGATATAAAGCAAAAGGAAAAATAAGAAAAAAACTACTAATTAAGTGTTAGATACTCTTAATGGTGTCAGGTTTTTTGGATGAAAACTGTGGGATCGACTTGACTCAAAACAGACAATATCACATCATATCAAAAGTGTAATATATACCATTATATAATTAGGATACAAATTACTAAAATTCGAAGTTCAGATATTTGAATTTCAAAATGGGCCTAGGCAGGCTAATGGGTTCTAGTTGATCCCTCACCCAAAGCCCAATTATATAGGCCTTAAACCTTGGATTGATGGGTTATATAGTTTGGACTTTGGTACTATTTAGCGAAAAAAATTATCATGGTAGAGGCCTAACCAACAAAAGGTATGTGAAGCTTCATTTATTTTTTGACACATGGACAAGTGGGCTATTTATGTATTTTTCTACTTTAAAACAAGAACTTTCTACAACTAACAAGAGAGGAAATATATTTACACATAAATTGAGTTGAACAAATATAAAAAATGCAAGAAAAATTATGTGTGTTTGCTACATTTTTTTAATCATTATTAATATTATATTAATTTGTGTGATTATACCGGATATATTATTGTTGTTGTAGTTGTATGTTAGTTTGACAAATTTATTTTGATATGATATTTTTTTTGTGTATTCATGTTGTGTTTTTTTTTTAAAAAAATAAAAAAAATCTTTCATAATTATTGTGATTTTAAAATGTAGTCATTTTATTTTAATTGTTACGATCTGAAATGTCGATTGTTACCTTATTTTTAAATTAGAACTTTTGAAGGAAAGTAAAAAAAAGTTAATTATATTATTATTGTGGGGATGATTGCTTAAAACAAAGTATCACTACTGTCACGATTCAGACCGTCGTAGTTGACACCCACACTAACTCTCCGGTGGGAGAACCACTACTACAATCCAAACCAAGCAACTAAACAAAATACTAAAGCATTTAAGTTATGGAAGCAAGTTAAATACTAAGGAAATAAAGAGGGAGTTCCCATAAACTCCAACAAAAGTCTAACAACAAACTAACAATGTAGAAGAAATAACCTAGAACTTGAAATTCAATGTACCAAAACATTTAACAATGATTCAAGTCTAAACAAGAAGGGATGCAACCCCCAACTAATGTACTAATAACTAATCGAACATAGTCAAAGTCCGAAAATGGTGGACATAGACGAAAGAGAACCCATGGCAGCCCGAACGAATTGACTCACCCTTGAATTCGAACGATCATTGATCTCCTAAGCAGGTCTGTCAGTAGCCGCTTGAAGATACCCTGTGCTCAACAAAAATAAGAGCAAACGCAGTATCAGAACACAACCACAGTGTACTGGTAGGATCACACGGCTATCCCACTAAATGCAACATAAGCAAGTCAAGACAACATTATAATCACATGCATATATATCAACATATACAATATTATCAACATTTACGAACAACGAACAACTTCACATTTTTTATCAAATCATTGGTCCTCTCATGGGATCCAAACCCAAACAATTAGCATACCGAAACGTGGTATCCGATCCCATAATTATGTCAGAACGTGGCAACCGATCCCATAATTATGCCGGAACGTGGCAACCGATCCAAGTTAGTTATGCCGGAACGTGACAACCGATCCATTCAACGCACCACAATCACAATCATTAAGATCATACATTTAAGTCATGATTTCGTGGCAATCATCATTCATATATCTCATTTACAACAAGTGTGATCAACATTGCAGCATTCATACATATACAAGTATCATAATGAAGCAAGAACAAACATACATCACACAATCATAGAATCACAACCATCACCTACCTCGAAACAAGCTTGAAACCCTAAGAAACTTGATCCTTCCCTTTCCAGATTCGTTCCGCTTGTTCTTGCTCTACAAACAATCAATATAATACGGGAATCAATAAACAATCACTAATTACCTGAATTACTAACAACTCTATGAACCCTAGATCAAACTCATGATCCTAATTATCCAAATTAGGGTTGTTTCCATCATAGAATCTATAACAAAACCCTCCTTCATCAATATTCATCCATTCTATTACGTTCGACGGATCGAAAAATGAATTCGGGGAGTGAAAAACTTACATTTAGTCTCAAGAATGGTAAAAAACGAGTAGGAGTCGCCTGGGGTTCGTTCCTTAGTTCTAAAAGTCGAAAGGTGCATAATAAGGTTGTTTAGGGGTTTATTAACGACCTTAAGTCGCGTCGTGCCCGCCACAACGGCCATCATCCCGCTGTAGCGTCCCCGTCAGAGTGGCTGGAACGAAACAGAGAGCTATTTTGAGAAATCCAAAATCCCCATTTCACAACACATCTCTAACTAACGACGTTCAGAAAAATACCCTTAGCGCTAAGATCGTCCTACTCACTTGAATTCAATTCTGTAAAGTCGTACAAATTCCTTAACTAGTTATCTAACTACTCATGCAACCAAAATCATAAATGATTCACCCGATTGTTACCAGATTTTCCTACACCTCAAAGACTCCGATTTCGTCCAAATCGATTTGAATTAGGTTAGTAAAATCCAAATACTACAAAAAAGTTTTTCGGCCCCAAATTTTTCACCGTTGGCATTTCTATAAACAAAGAAATAGTTTTTAAAATGTATCGTTATCCTAATAAAATATTTTTAGTTTAATTTGTGTAAAATTTCAGTTGATGTAGAATGTACGATTTATCATCATTACAATTTGATCATTAATTTTTTTAATAATATAGTATTTAAAATATTCTCTCGAGTACATTTTGTTTATTTTTTATTTTTTTTAATATTGTATGATTATTGTTAAATTTGTGAAATAATAATTTTTTTTAATTAAAGATGGCTAAATATAAAAAGAGAATCAAGATCTGAAATACTAATTTTTTATTTCTTTTCAACATCAACGAGGATGTCAACTTTTTTCAAACACCAACAAAAACGTTAACTTTTTATTCAAAAAATACACATTTAGTTTGGACATCAAAATATGTAATTTTGATTTTTAACAAGACCATGTTTTGATTTAAGAAACAACGTTACAAAGAAAATTCAAAAAAGTTATTTAATTAAATGGGCATTCAACAAGTATAAAATGTGGACCCTACAGTCATTTATTATTATATTATTATAATTATTCAGTGAATTGTATTATATCTGATAAGATATATATTAATTACAAATATTATTTTACTTTTTGTTATTTTAGTTTAGGTTTAAGGTTTTACGTTTTAAAAGCTATTTCTTTGAGTAGTGATACTTTGCTTTAAACAATCATCCCCACAATAATAATATAATTAACTTTTTTTTTACTTTCCTTCAAAAGTTCTAATTTAAAAATAAGATAACAATCGATATTTCAGATCGTAACAATTAAAATAAAATGACTACATCTTAAAATCACAATAATTATGAAAGAGTTTTTTTTTTTAAAAAAAAACACAACATGAATACACAAAAAAAATATCATATCAAAATAAAATTTTCAAACTAACATACAACTACAACAACAATAATATACTCGGTATAATCCCACAAATTAATATAATATTGATAATGATTAAAAAACTAGCAAACACACATAATTTTTCTTGCATTTTTTATATTTGTTCAACTCAATTTATGCGTAAATATATTTTCTCTCTCTTGTTAGTTGTAGAAAGTTCTTGCTTTAAAATAGAAAAGTACATAAATGGCCCACTTGTCTATGTGTCAAAAAATGAATAGAGTCTCACACACCTTTTGTTGGGTGGGCCCCTACCATGATAAAATGTTGTGTTTCCTAGTTAGCACTTAGCACTAGGACTAGGAATTAGCATAAAATATTTGTATATTGTTGATATATCATAAAGGGATATTAATTGATTTGGTGCTAGATATTTTTTTAGGCTATAGTTTGAATTTTAAAATAGTTGAAGAGACATATTGATCCTCTCTTTATAGTTTTAGAATATTTTGGAGAAAGAAGAGTGAACCAATTCAGAATATATCAAATTCCTAATGGAAGTTTAGTCAAAATCATATCTTATTCCAATATTCCCAAGCTTTGAACTTGGAAAAAAGAGGTTATTCTTTTTATTATTATTACTATTATTATTTTTAACTCTAAAGTAAAAAAAAAAAAAATCGCTTTTTGGAAGGGTTATTTTTCTTGTAAAAAAAAACTAGTAGTAGTTGGAGAATTGGACCATTTCTTTTGCGCTCATATACTGGCATATTCAATAGTACCTCATATTTGTCATCATTTTCTGTTTTTCGTGGGCCTTGTGGCTGCTATTATTTTACTTCCCGTTTCTTATCTCAATTTATGTAAATACATTTTCTATTTTAGATTGTTTCAAAAAAAATATATATCATGTTTTTTTATTGAAAATATTTTTACTTTAAAATTCACTTTTTATTGTTAATGGAATGATTAATAACTGCACAAATGTCTAAGACACTAGTAATTTAGTATATATCGCTAAAAGTTATTTTTGTTTTAAGTTAAACTATTGCCACATATATTAAGACGGAAGAAGTCTCTACTAATGTTTTTGTTCAATGCTAGTCCCACTGATAATTTGATTGATAGAGTGAATATAGAAAAAATAGTAATATCTTCATATGAAAAAATTAGGAAGTTACCCACTACTTTTATGACAATTTGTTTTCTGCCATTCATTTTCAGTTGGTTCGATGGAAATGCGTGGAAAAATTATTTACTACAGTATAAATTTTCCATTAATTCGTGCTGAAACAAAACCTTTATTTCTAATAGTGAGTAACATTTTAGTCAATTGATTAAAATAGCAGTAGTAATTTGTAGTTGTCTTGGTGTATATTTAATGTATAAGAAATATTTAATTAATTTGGACATTGATTATACATTGTATACTAGCTAAAATTTGTAAAAACAATATAGTTATTTTGTGTTGTGGGCTTTGTTTAGCTTAGTATAGTATGAAAACTCTTCTTTTTTTAAGGATTTTTTCATACACAAGACTGGAACTCACAACCTCGAATTAAGGAAAAAAGTAAAAAACAATTACATCCATGACACCATATCATTTGGTGATATTGATTATTCTAGTCAATAATTAGTATTTCTTTTTTTTTTCTTTCATGAATGCACTTGTTTGGCATTATACTAATGTAGTCAAACATATTGAAATTATACTTGATGGTTTTTCATATAATTTCTTGTTCCTTCTTGCATCTTATACCACAAAAAAACGTATCACTTTTTTTCTGAATAAAACAGAAATTAGATATCAAATCAAGTGAGGTCAATATCATTAAAGATTTGTGCCTATGTTTTCCCTCAGGAGATTTTCTTCTTTGTTCTTATTTGAAATTAACTTGTCACGTCTCTATTTTTCAAAGTGGACATTAAAATAACAATGATACCCTGGCCACCAAGACAATAACATAATTTTTCAAAAAAAAAAAATGTGTACGCAATTTTAAAATTCTAAACTCATAAAATTTAAATTATGAATATGTCTCTGTTGTAACAACAATTAAAAAAAATTGTAGTGGAAAAACTTTTTCTATCGAGAGAGAGATTAAAAAATTTTTGTGTAACCTTAGGCAACAGATAATATTGACTATTGAACTAGGATGAAATTCCTTTTGCCACTTCATGTAATTAAAAAATTATAAAAAGATACTTTATTTAAATTCCTTGACAAAAATAAGGAGGAAAAAAGGACCGAAAGGGGCAGGCCTAATAAATAATTAATCAAACGCAACGTGAACTCATCATGAAAATGTGTGTGGGTTTGTTTTCTACTCGGTGTGTGGTATTAATCATGTTGGAATTCAACTAATTTGAATTTATGTCGGAAAGTCTCATTTAGGGGTAGAGCTTCTCCTATCAAAAATAAGTAATTTTATAGTCAGAATTCGAATTTAAAATCTTTAATTAAAAATAAAAGAGTACTTATCATCCCACAATCTTTTCGATAGTAGTAGTGATGACTAATGGCATGCTAGATGATATATATATATATACACTTGTGGTTTACACATTAGATTTGCACTCCATCAGCAAAGTCACTAGCTAGCCATCATTTATGTAGAAACCTAGATTGCTTACTCATTACATCATTCAACTATGGATAAATATATATGACTCATTAATCATATACATAACAATTAGGACATGTATAGCCACAAATTTTTATATTTTATTATTACGTGCAATATTCTAAGTTGGTATAATTTGAATTTACAAGTACCTACTTCTCAGTGGATTATGTTGAGTTTAAATATATTCTATATTTGACATGGCTCACTACGCAAATCTCTATTTTTAGGTCACCATTTATATTGTATATAAATTTTTTTTTAAAAAAACAGTGCAAATGTAGCCCTTGCGATCACCCTTTGTGATAACGTCAAATTTGAGTCTAGTATTCTCATATATTACTCAACCTTACAGATAAATTATTAAACCATCTTCTTGTAGTGAACGTTTGCAAATAACTTATAAACTTTTAAATTGTAATGTAATGCCTTCTCATAAGATTTTCAATTTGCTCAAAAAATATATATTTAAACTAAAATCTAAAAAGGTCTATAAGTTAAAACAGAAACAGGAATTTTACCAAACACCTATCTCAAAAAAGGGACAACCCATGAAAAACATTGTATATAAGTTTTCTTTTTTTTTACCTTATGTGATGAAGATAGAAAAGGTGTGGTGGAGGTGGGGTGTATGTGAAGCACATGTAAATTCCATAAAACTATGCAAACAATAGTAAAAAAATTCAAAAAGGGTTAGCTCATATAGCAAGACTAATGAGAGCTTCAATTTTTTTAATCTTTTATGTTGTTGTCTTACTCTTTCGGGGAGGAATCTCTCCTATAGTAATTCCCTTCTTTATTATCTCGTGCTAGATACAATATCCTTTTTTCTTCTCTCTTCTCTATCATCTCGTCTCAGATGCAATATCTTTTTTTCTTCTCGCGAACCAACCCCCGCCCCCAAAACCCCCAACCCCAACAACTATATCTAACCTTAGATCTTTAACTATAGTTCCATTTTATAAAAACTCTCTATATATCCTTTACTTCTTCTCCAAAAACCTTAGTCATTCCAATTAAAACTATCTCTCCATTACTTTAAAAAAAAAAAAACATGTTATGCTCAATAGATCTACCAGATTGTGTTTATTCAAAAGAGCCTATTTTCATAAGTCCAATTAGTCCAACACCAAATCACACCCTTTATTTATCAAATCTTGATGATCAAATGTTCCTTAGATTTTCAATTAAGTATCTTTATCTTTTTACTAAGTCCATAAATTTGGAAAAACTTAAATATTCACTATCAAGAGTTTTAGTGGATTATTATCCCTTAGCAGGGAGATTATTAAAATGTCCAGAAAATAATCATAAACTTCAAGTAGATTGTAATGGAAAAGGTGCTATTTTTGCTGAAGCATTTTTGGATTTAAGTGCTGATGAACTTCTTGTTGTTTCTAATAAACCTGATAAATCTTGGAGAAAATTATTGTATAAAGATGAAACTCAAAGTTTCTTGGATATTCCTCCTCTAGTTGTGCAGGTTAGTTTCTAAATTACACTCTTATTTTTCATCTGAGTTTAACTTCTATACGTTAATTATCACATCACCTCTCAGAAAAAATGAAATTTAATGTTTATACATTAAAAAACACATATAGGACAAATGTTTTTAACATATTGTCACTCTTCTTTCTTTCCTTACTAGCATGAAGCACACTAAAAATATGCTTGTGTGATTCTACTCTGTGTGTTTTTGCACTTTGTCTATGTATATAAGTTAGTAGAATTTTTTTTCGTTTAGTTTTTGAAATATCTTGATATAGTTACATGGTTCAACTTAGCTTGTTAGAGTTTTCATATTTTTAATTACAACAAGTGAACATTACTTAGAGATGTAACATTAAGAATATGTGCTATTGATTGATAATATCCTCTCAAATATTTGAAAATTTAAGATAAATATTATGGCTAAAGGTTAAATTTGTATTTCAATAGGACTTTCTTGTGTGTGATGTTCCCAAGACAACATGTATGGTTCCCTTTTCACCATCATCTCACATTTTCTTCTGATATTACCCATTAACACTAATATAAAGGTTTACATGCTTTAATTTGATTTGATTAGTAACCTAATTAACTTTGGTCATGTTCTTTGTATATTCAAATAGTATTAACTAGGAAGAATAGTGAAACATATAACCCATAATGCGCTTAAATTACTAATATATTTTTATGCTCACTTTAACAAGTGTACCTAAATTATTATTTCGAATGATAGTATCGAATAACGAACATAACATGTGAAGACAATTGAAAAGTGAAAGTAGGATTTTGAATTTATAACATGTTTTCAATTCTAAAAAAATCTGAATAAATTAAATTTTCAACACATATAAAATTTGAATCAAAGCTACTATATTTTATCGAATTCATAATAAAATCGTACATATCATAGATGATTAGCTAGATATATATAACAATAGATTCAAGTTAGGGTTCATATGTGAAGTAACGATATAATAATTACCTTTGTATTTGGAGTAGCATTGTTAGTAGAAGCAAAGAGGGAACACACGATGTTCATGAATCTTCATTATCGAAAAATTATACTCCCTATGTCTCAATTTATGTGACACTTTTCATTTTTCGAGAGTCAAACAGTTTAAGTTTGACTGGGAATTTGCGCATGGAATCTTCAATTTTTTTAAAATGAAATTTATATATTTGTAAACTACGTAAAAAATACTATAAGTCACAATAATTGATAATTCAAAATATTTAAAAAGATCTATAAAAAATTTACGGTCAAAATCCAAAAAGTGCCACATAAAATGGGACGGAGGGAGTATTGCAGTATAAATTTAAATTATATCGAAAAATTATATTTTAATGAATAATTCTTTGAATGCACATGGAAAATGACTTAAAGTGACCCTACTCCCACTTTCAATGGCTTTCTCCTATTGTTCCTTTCACTTTGTTTTATTTGGTCTTTCTTTTTCTTTTAGCTTAATATTTTTTATGTTAAATGACAAAAATATCCCTTCGTAACCACATTTGTTTCCCATTGTAGGTAACAAATCTCCGTTGCGGGGGCATGATCCTCTGCACCGCAATCAACCATTGCATATGTGACGGCATCGGCACCGCTCAGTTTTTACATGCATGGGCCCACTATACCGTGGACCCCACAGTCAGTTTATCAATCAAACCGTTCCATTCTCGCCACGTGTTGAAACCCCGTGATCCGACACAAATAACCTCTATACATCCTACATTTACGAAAATACCACTTGATGATCCTAATCCCCAATTTAGCCTCAACCTTCACCAATATTTACAATCACAACCTGTTACCCCTGCTTCTATTACCTTTTCACAATCCCAAATTCTACATTTGAAAAGACAATGTTCTCCCTCGGTAAAATCCACTAGTTTTGAAGTCCTAGCATCTCACACGTGGCGGTGTTGGGTAAAATCATTAGATTTATCGTCTTCTGTAAACGTGAAACTATTATTTTCCGTTAACATTAGGAAGACAGTAAAACCAGAATTACCACAAGGGTATTATGGGAATGGATTTGTGCTAGGGTGCGCCGAGGCACCAGTTAAGCAAGTGGTGAATGGTAACTTACAAGACACGGTAAAATTAGTGCAACATGCTAAGTCCGAATTAACAAACGATACGGTAAAATCAATCGTTGATTTATTAGAGGATAAAACGGTAAAAACGGATTTATCGACTAGTTTGGTAATTTCACAATGGTCAAGATTGAGCTTAGAAGAGGTAAATTTTGGAGAAGGTAAACCAATTCAAATGGGTCCATTAACAAGTGATATTTACTGCTTGTTTTTACCGTCATTGGGTGAAATGGATGGAATTAGAGTATTGGTTTCTGTGCCAGAAAATGTTGTGAAGAAATTTGAATATTATATGAAGGAACTTTGGGAGGTAAATGATGTTAATGGAGATATTATCAAAGGACATCTTCAATATGAAAATCAAAAAATGATTTCTGCTTGAATTTAATTGTTTAGGAAAAAAAATTAGTTTCTAATTTTGATTTTCCTTTTTTTTTTTTTTTGTGTGTGTATGTGTTTTCATGTAATGTGTATTAAAAGAAATTGTGAATGCAATAATCTATGTCCAATAACTTTAAATTTGTAACATTCAATCTCCCTAAAAAAAACAAACAAGAAGGTTAAAAACCATAGAAATGGAATGGAAAAGACCCGCTAGACACGGTCTCTGTTGTACTTATCTCAGTTGAGGTTTGTTGGATTTATTTTTATATATACTACATACTTGACGCTCTAAAGTCTGTATCTTGCCCCTAGTTACTTAATCGTATTTGACTTCTATCGCAGATCTGTTATTTCTTACCCATTTCTTTCCATTAGCTTATACATAGGAGATATGAAGATATTCCTTTTCCTTTTCTAATTTTGTTATGTAAATATTCTTTTGATATTTTTTCCTTTTTCATTTGATCTTGAGAATATTTTTTTTTTAGGGTTTACCATTAGATGTCATCTTACTTGTATAAATACAATCTAATTGTATAGTTTATTCATTCAAAAATACAGGAAGAAAATTTTCTATATTGTTCTTCATTTATTCTTTCATGGTTTCAGAGCAGTGTTAATTTTAATTTTTTAGTCTTCCGCTTTCATTTTTCTTCTCTATTTTCAAAAATGGTTGAAATTGAATCATCCAATACTCAAATCACAGAAACGAGTGATAGAGTTCCTTCAATTAATGCAGTGGATTCATCACATGATTTCTACATTCACCTTTCTGATTATCCCGGCATGAACCTTGTCTCCATTGTTTTTGACGGTAGGAGTTATGGTGGCTGGAGAAGGGCTGCTATTATAGCCCTTTCAGCGAAGAACAAACTAGGATTCATTGATGGATCCCTAGTTGTTCCTACTGATATAACTCTTTAAAAGGCTTGGTCAAGATGTAATGAGATGGTGTTATCCTGGTTACTCAATTCTCTCTCAAAAGAAATTGTTGAGTTTGTCTTGTACTCCTAAATCGCCAAAGTCTTATGGTCTGACCTGGAAGATAGATTTGGTCGGGTTAATGGTGTCAAATTGTTTTAACTTCAAAAAGATTTAAATGTTGTAGTTCAAGGAAATTCCAGTATTTCTGCATATTTCACAAAAATGAAGAGTTTGTAGGATGAGTTAGATGCACTAAACACTTTTTCTGCTTATAGTTGTGAGTGTGTATGTGGAGCAAAAGAAAAAAAGTATACAAGCTCATTAAGATGAAAGGTTGCTTCATTTTCTTATGGGTCTAAATGACACTTTCATAGGGGTTAGAAGTAATATTTTGTTATCTTCTTCTCTTCCTACTATTGGTTAGGCTTATTCTCTTGTTATTCAAGATGAAAAACAAAGGGAAATTCATGCTACTCCTGCTTATCCAGGAGAATCAACATCCTTTCTTGTTGGTAATGCAGGAGAAATGAGGTTCAATGATTACAAAACTCAATAAGAAAATATCATTAAGAAAACTTCCTTGGTGTGCAACTATTGTAAGAAGATAGAACATACTATTGACCAATGCTATAAAATTCATGATTTTCCTTCAGATTTCAAGTTCACTAAATCTAAGAAGTATTAAAAGGGTACTATTGCCAGCAATGTTTTTAATACATGAGAAGGTACGTACTCATCAAGGAGTGAAAAATGATTGAGATGTGAATTCTCTCAGTCAAGAAAATGTGGCACAACTTCTGCAACTTTTGCAGAAACTAAATCAAAAGATTGATGGGTCTACTAATGCATCTGCAAACCTTTCTTGTGCTGATATGATCAAGCTATTTAATTCTTATGCTTACATGTTTAAAGTTGACACTTGTTCTTGGATATTAGATAGTGGAGCATCTGAGCATATGACTTTTGATAGAAGTTTTTACACTAATTTCAATCTTTTACCTAAACCTATCATGGTAACTCTACCTAATTCTCATAAAGTAAAGGTTACTCATTCAGGAACTGTTTCTCTTTTATCCAACCTACTTCTACAAAATGTTCTCTATATTCCTTCTTTCAGATTCAATCTTATCTCAATTCACAAATTATGTAAACAACTTCAAAAATATGTGCTTTTTACCCCTAACGCTTGTTTCATGATAGGGCCCTTCACTGAAGAGGCCTCTGGTGCTTGGTAAAGAACAAGGAGGTCTATATATCTTCAAGTCAAGTCAGCCAGCTCTTTCTACAAAGAGCCTACCTAGTTTTAGTCTTCATAGTCTATCGTTTTCAAGTTCTTTAATAAATGCGTTTACTTCTTGTTCTAATTTCTTTGATTCCAATGTAAAAGAGAAGCTATGGCACTATAGATTAGGCCATATGTCAATGAGTAATATGAAGAAAGTTTTTCAATTTTCTAAATCTTGTTCAAAGTTATCTTTTTCTTGTGTTATTTGTCCTATGGCAAGGCAATCAAAATTATCTTTTCCTTCTAGTGCTATTTGTACCAAGGTTGCTTTTGACTTAATTCATGTGGATACTTGGGGTCCTTATAAATCTACTACATATGATGGGTATACGTATTTTCTTATAATTGTTGATGATTTTAGTAGAGCTACTTGGACTCATCTACTTGGGACTAAATCAAATGCATTCTCTGTCCTTTAATCTTTTATTTCTATGGTAGAAAGACAATTCAATTCCAAAGTTGAAATTATCAGAACTGACAATGCTTTTGAATTAGGTTGTGGAAAAATTCAATCTAATTTTTTTCTTTCCAAGGGAATTATTCATCAAACTACTTGTGTCCACACTCCACAACAATATGAAGTAGTGGAGAGAAAACACAAGCATTTATTGAAAACATCAAGAGTTCTTTTATATCAATCTCACCTTCCTATTGGTTAATGGGGGGATGCTTGTTAACAACTATTTATCTTATAAATAGATTTTCTTCCGGTGTTTTGAATTCAAGAACCCCTTTTGAGGTTCTGTTCAAAGTTAAACCATCTTATTCTCATCTAAAGTGTTTTGATTGCTTGTGTTTTGTCTTTACTCTTCCTTTACATAGAACTAAATTTGATCCTAAAGCTTCACCTTGTGTGTTTATAGGATATTCATATGAAAAAAAGGGCTACAAAGTGTTGGATCTACAAACCAAGAAAATTTCAGTCTCTAGGAATGTTATTTTCCATAAAGAGTATTTTCCTTTCTCTTCACAATCTGATTTACATTCTACTTTATTTCCTTCTACTACTACCATTTCTTCTGATTATCCCTTAGAATCTCATTTTCCACATCAAATTCGAATTCTGATTATTCTTCTGATTTGGATAATGTCCCTATATCTACTAGTCCTTCTAAATCTCCGTCTCCTTCCAATGTTACTTCACATATCAATTCCTCTTATGATATATCTCCTATACATTCTTCTCTATTACTTATTGTTCAAACTATACTCAGAAAATCTTTTAGAAATCACAAGAAATCTTATTACATAGAATATTATATTTGCAATGCTCTACATCTTATTGATGTGACTTCTTCTTGTTTCCTAAGTCATGTTACTCCTGAGTCTTTATCTTTTAGTGATTTATCTTCTAACAATCAAGTCATGCTCAATTCCATTACTAGTATATAGGAACATGTCAGCTATATTCAGGCAGCTCACCATCTGGGTTGGCAGGAAGCCATGGATAAAGAACTTACAACTTTAAACCTTAACAACACATGAAATGTTGTTGTGCTGCCTACAGGTAAGAAGGCTCTGCCATCTAAATGGCTTTATAAGGTAACACAACACTCTGATAGAAGTGATGAAAGACTAAAAGCTAGATTAGTCATTAGAGGTGATGTGTAGAGAAAATGTATTGATTATAATGAAACTTTTTCTCCAGTAGTCAAGATGACCACCATCAAGTGTATTTTAGCTATTGCGTTGAAGAATGGATGGGGTGTGTTTCAATTAGATGCGAACGATGCTTTTCTACATGGTGATTTAAATGAAGAGGTTTACATGAAATTTCTTCCCGGTCTTGCACCTTCTTCTCCTAACCATGTCTGTTTGCTTAAAAAATCCATTTATGGACTTAAGCAAACATCCATACAATGGTATGCTAAACTCACTTCTGTTCTCAATTTTAAAGGTTTTAGTCATACTAAGAATGATTATTCTTTTTTTTAAGAAATCTGCAGATTCTATTTCTATTGTGGCATTATATGTGGATGACATATTGTTGACAAGAAATAATGAAGCTATATTAGCAGGCCTAAAAACTCTTTCGGGACAAAGAGTTTAAAATTAAAGATCTTGGTCAGTTGCATTATTTTCTTGGGATGGAGGTTATGAGAGAACCTACTGGTATGATTATTTCCCAAAGGAAATTCACATTGGACTTACTATAAGAGTTTGATTCTCTACATTTATTTCATGTTTCTTCACATTTGGGTCCTAATGTCAAGTTACTAGCAAATAAAGGGATTCCCATAAAAGATCCTACTTTATACATGCGTTTGTTAGGTAAGCTCAATTATCTCACACATACAAAACCTGATTTATCCTTTACAGTGCAACATCTGAGTCAATATATGCAAGATCCTTGTGAACCTCATCTTGCAGCTGCTTTACGGGTTCTTCGTTATTTGCTCAAAGATCATGATATTGGTCTATTTATGTTTGTATCTGCTTTTTTCAAATTGATGGCCTTTTGTGACTCTGATTGGGATACTTGTCCAGATTCACGAAGATCAGTGAGTGGATTTTATATTTCTCTCGGGTCTTCTCCTATTTCATGGAAATCTAAGAAACAAACATCAATTTCTCTCAGTTCTGCTGAAGTTGAGTATAGATCTATGAGGAGGGTTGTAGTCGAACTTGCTTGGTTGGTTCGCCTATTTGATGATCTCTCAGTTCCGATCTCCTTGCCAGTACCTTTTCACTCTGACAGTCTTGCTGCGATTCACATCACAAAAATCTAGTCTTCCATGAACGGACAAAGCATGTCGAGATTGACTGTCACTTCGTCTGTCAACAATATCTCGCCGATTTAATTTCTTTATCTTAAGTTAGATCTTCTTCACAGCTGGTTGACATCTTTACCAAGTCCTTGGCCGGACCCGTGCATCATCAACTTTTAGGCAAGTTGGGGGTTTCTTCCTCCCCTCCAACTTGAGGGAGGCTGTTGGATTTATTTTCATATATTCTGCACATACATAGGAGATATGGAGATATTCCTTTTCCTTTTCTAATTCTGTCATGTAAACATTCTTTTGATATTTTTTCCTTTTCCATTGATCTTGAGAATATTTTATTCGTTTAGGGTTTAACATTAGATGTCATCTTACTTTTATAAATACAACCTAATTGTATAGTTTTATTCATTCATAAATACAAGAAGAAAATTTTCTATATTGTTCTTTATTTATTCTTTCAAGGTTTTCTTTTAATTATATTATTAATAAAAGACCGCTAGACACTGTTTAGTGGTATAAAATAAAATGTCCAATTCTAAATGATATCAAAGTTAAGTACATTCTTGAGTTCCCACATTAATGGTTGTGTTTCGTTTTCCTTATATATGGTGTGTTACGTATAAAGGAAGACATTTTTTCCTTCATATTTAGTGGTCAAAATATTTTGCGAACACTTTTATCTAGGAAATCAAGTTCATTAAAAATGGGAAAATTCAACTTTTCTAATGAAAAATAAGTTTCGTAAGTGATATTTCAAGTTCATTATTTCTTCTTTATCCGCCCAACACCCTGAACCCCGCTATCTAACTCTCACCCCCTCCTCATCCCAGCCTCATAATATTTTGCTAAATTAAATATATATATTCTTTGGATAGTATTTTTTTAATTTACTTACTTATATAAAAAAACTTAATGAAAAATCCACTTATTTTTAAAAATATTTTCTTTCATATCAAACACACCCATAATTTTAATTAGTAATTCTCATCAGATGAACTAACTTTAGAATTTGAATCAAAATCTATTGCTCCGTATTACTTTTATATCCGTTAGTGTAGATTAGTGTGAAAAAAGTGAGGCATAGACAAGGGTCATTTGTGAGGAATTAAACTTTCGATGATGCTATTCCTTTTCTTGGTTATTTTATATATATATAGTACTAACAAATACTCTATTTCCTTGTGGAATGGAACAAGGTATATAAGATCGTTTAGGAAACAGGGTATATTTTGTAACTTTATAAATAAGTTATTCGAGAAAACGATAGTTAAAAAAATCAAAAACATATCTAAAATATTTTAATTTTTTTTAAGCTTAGATAAATTACAAGTGCAACCATGTAAATTTTCTATCTGAACTAGAGAAGTAATGAACTGACAATTAAAATAAGTTTCGATAAATATTTTATGATACTTCATGGAGAAAATCATACACGGATTAGTTATAAAATTTTAAAAATTAAGATATTTTAGATATATTTTTATCCGAACGAAAAACCTCAAGAGACAATAAAGAGAGAGAAGCTCCGCCAGACAGGGCGTATATTTTTCCAGTTAGTGTGTGACAAGATTCTTGTTTTACGCATAAAGGTGAAAACAATTTGTCCTACATAGTCAATTATTTGGGAAATGATATTTTTCCCCCCACTTTTGCTCTATTATTTTAGTACTACTATTTTATGTACATTTTTGCTCTATTATTTTTTTACAATTTTTATGTACAATTTTTGCATAAAAGTGGTTCTTATATGGACATGGATATCAATTTACAAACACCAAATAAAAGTTGTGTCCTTATTGATAGAACATTTGAAGTAATGTGTGCAATGTTTGGACAACATAATTGAGTAAATAAGAAGTGTATTAACTTCAATCATTTAATTTTTTTTAAGTAAAATAGTTGTATATTTTAATATATGATGTCAGAGTAAATAAAAGTCTTGAATTTGAATATTATCATCAATCACTAATATTATTACAATAAAAGAAATTATTTATGTGACTGGTGAAAAAGAAATAGAATTGCATGTAATGAAACATGTTGAGTAATACAATGCATCCCTGCCATTTTAAAAAAAAACGGAGGGAATTAATTGGAAAATAATTAAGATGCACCACTTATACAAGTTGTCTTTCTTTTATTATAACTAATGTTTCAAATTTATCTTTTCAAATCTCAACTATGTCAGTGGCATAAATGGAAAAGAATTGAGTGGCAAGATGAATCATTATATTTGGTCAATGATCAATTGTTCATAAAAAGAATATTGAGTTTTAATTAATTATATATAGTTCCTAACTTCATTATACTTATATAACAGTAATTAGATAAAGCATGATTACTTTGTTGCTTGAGTGCTATTATATCATATTCAACAATTGCATAAATGATAAGTATAAATAGAAAAAGTAAGCTTCCAAAATTGACAACCATGCACCTTGAAAGATATAAATTCATATATGTGTTTTTTCTTTTAATTTTAAAATTTTAAAATAATTTTATGACCTAACAACAATTTAATTATGTAATATTAAGTATACCTAATGTCCATGTAAATGAAGTATATACTAAAAGAAAAAGGATACAATAAATTTCCAACAAAATTATCATCGTCAACACCAAACTTAATGTAATTTCACAAGTAAAGTTTGAAAAATATTTTGTATATGCAAACCTTGTTCCTACCTTAGAAAAAAAATTGTTTCTTACAGATCCTAGACTCAAAGAAAAATGAAAAAAAAGATTGTAGTAGCAAGCCTATATGATCATACATAATTTTATCGTATACATTTATTATATATTTGAGTGTACAACCAACTACATAACGATATTTGCAAACTATAGTGGATTCTTTTTTAGTCAATTGATTAAAAATATCATGATCCCTTGACCCTTAATAATGAATGGTTAACTACATTGGAAAATTAGACACCTCTAATGCCATTGATTGGTTGAAAGAAAATTAGCCAAAAGCTTATCCCATTGAATATGCCAATCAATTTAATCATAGTTTTAAGCCTCAAAATATTCAAAATGTTTGACCTAAATTATGCAAAACGAGCAAATTATCTTGTCCAAAAAGATGTGCTTTTGTGTTCAAGATGTCAAAAAGAATCAATGCTCATTTATAATATTGGTTAATCAAAGATAAAATTCCTTCTAATCTTTTTGCTTAGTTAATTAAGGGGAAACCAATTAGATATGAGTTAAAAGTCAATGGCATGATGAGAAAAAGTAGAAAACAATGATGCATGGGAGTCTAGTGTTTCAATAGTGGGTGGGAAGTTATTTTAAAAGGAATATTATGCTAGTACAATTGTGATATATATATAAAATGTCACAATGAATTATACTATATAGTTTTAAAATGCATTATAATGAGCATGATGTATATTATACTATATTATATAATATAATATAATAGAATCATAACTACTAGGCCATGAGTCTACAACTAGACTTGCTTTTTAGAACCACATGAAAGATACTCATAATTTATACATTTGTCAAAATCTAGGATTCCAAAACGTATGGCTTATTGTGCTGACACTCACGCATGCTCTCATTTTTTTTAGTGTGATTTGACATTCCTTACATTTCAATTTTTGTCGGTAAAAGATAGCAGATACTCGATAGAACAATTAGAATATACAAAAATTTCAAAAAACATGTAAGTTTATCACTGAGCTTAGAGTTTATACCATAGTTAGGGGTGTTCACGGGTTGATTTGGATCGGTTATTGGGTAAAATCAAAACCAAATCAACTTAATCGGTTTTAAAATTATCAAAACCAAACCAAACCAAATATAATATACATTTGTCGATTTGGTGATTATCGGTTTCGATTTGGTTTGGTTCGGTTATTCGGTTATTAACCATACACAAAAATAAAAGAAACAATTCATTTAAAATGTGAAAAAAGTGACAAAAATCCATTCAAAATGAAAAATAGTTAGAATGACTTAAATTACTGAACTTTCGATCACTAAATTTACTATCAATAAAGCTTTAAAATTCACTATATTGGCCTAGAAGGAAGAGACAATAACATTTTCAGTCCCATAATGAATTGTCATAGACACTCATATACATGAAATCAATAAGATAAATGTTTCATCTTGGGCATTTTTGCTTTCAATAAGTAAATTATAAAGAAATTTTAATGAAAATATGTATAAGATCGTTAAAATTGTTTATAAAAACAATATAGTAAGTATGTATATTAATAAAATATATGTATATAATTCATCGGTTCGGTTCGGTTATTTCTTCGATTTTTTCCGAATAAAACCATAACCAAACCAAATACTATCGATTTTCAAAAATCTAAAACCAAACCAAACCAAACCCAAATAAAATCGGTTTTATTTTATTGGTTTGGTTTGGTTTTTCGATTTGGATTGGTTTTTATCCAAACCGTGAACATCCATAGTAATCATTTTTACCTTTTACTTGAGATTGGGCATGCTAGCTCTGATTCTTACCTTTCTATCTTTGGTACTCATAAATATTTGATTGGTAGACAATTCAAGTATCGCTATACATGATTAATTATGTCCTTTTTCATCTTCTAAGCTCATAGTCAAATGAGAATTGTTTTCTTCGAAATTGATGTTTCAACCAACTTATATGTATTTTAATTAAATTATAAACTTAGCATTCTATCATACGCTTAAATCATTTGTAACGACCATTTTTTCCATCGAGTGAGCGTGGAAGGGTTACATTAAAGAAAAAAGAGAAAATGTAAAAGTTGCTTGAGGAACTAATTAAGATCTAAGAAGAATTAATTCAGATCTTAATTAGTTAAGAAAAAAATTGACAAATCTTGTAAAACAGATGAATATCATTTTTTCTTTGAAGTACCCCTAAAGAGGGCTTAATTGGGCCTTGAGATTTGTTACTAGGCCCGTTTTCTATGGACTTCGTAGGAGTCTAAAGAAAGAACGTTAGTGGGCTGTTGTATTCCTCGGCCCATGGTTTTTGGTTTATAGCATAAAATGGG